TTTTTAATAAAAAAATTATTATTAAATTATTTATATTATTAATAATTAATAATTTTTATATTTATCACTATTGTGTCAGAAATTATCGTTTTTTATGTCGTCAACTTACTGTAACGTGACATGTCATGCCATCACCCAACAATTTGGCAGCAAAATTTGACCGTAGCGCTGCCGGGGAAGGGTACGGCAACTAAGGCAACGCCCAGGTCTACGAATGGGGAAAATTTTATATGAAAATGTTATGCTTATAAAAATGAAAAATGTTTTGAAAACTAAAATAAATGCTTATTTGCATGTTCAAAAAAAAAAATAAATGCTTATTGATCATCATAATTATTTTAAATTTAAGTTGCATTATATTTATTAGGTGAGTTAAAATTAAAATATTACAGAGAGTTGTTGAATAAAATCCTTAAAAAAAAAATAATGAAAAATATTTTAACAACAATGTTGTGCTAAACATAGCTAGCTTGGCTTGAAGAGGAAAGAAAAGAAAAATTTTTATAATCAAATTATTTTGTTAATCTAATGAATTAATTTAATTGATCAAAATAAAATAAAGTCACTTTTTCCCTATAATTAAACAAGTTATTAGTGTTCGCATGACTAAATTGAGTGTGGATGTCTAATTAATTATTCACCTATAGTATTCAAAAAAAGATTTAATTGCAAAATACCACATCATAGCTAATCATTTAAATATATCGATTTTTTTTTTAACTTGTGCAATGTACCCTTTTACAAATAAATTATATAAAAAATATAAATGTTGATTTTAATTTATTTAATTGATCAATTAAAATCATCTATGTGATAATAATATTAAAATAAGAATCAACTTATACCTATATAAATTAATTACAAAAGAGACAATAGATATATCCTTAATATGTACTCTATAAGTTAGACAAACCTAAAAAATAATATACATCTAATATTTTTTCATGTTATTAACTACCATAAGATTTTGTATAATATGACATTTTATAACTAATTCTTTTTATTTAGAAGATAAAATTTCCAAAACTATAGTAACATATTTCAAGATTTATACAATTCGCTTTATTTATTTTATTTATATTTTGCTAAGTGGGGACGAAAGACAGTTAAGAGTGAAGAAAAACACAAGGGAAAGCCACACCTATTAATTGGTAAGCTCCATATCAGCAGCATCCCGCATCTGAGAGTTAACCAGGTAACAGATTATTAAACATAATTAAAATAGGTAATAGTAAACAAACTGAAAAATATGATTGAAGAATAAAACCAACACTACAGGCAGTAGGTACAGATATATGGTTGAAAACAGAAAATGCAATAATTTAAAGAGCCTCTTCTCTGTAATATTTCATACTAAGAAAATTATCTGGATTAGCTCATGTAGATTTCTCAGCTTCTGCAGCTGCCTCTTCCTCTTGCAACTTCTTCAAGGATGGAGGTGGTCTCACAACAATGATTTTCTTCCATTGTCGATCAAGCTTTCTTGACAATCGCTTGTTGATTCCATCCTCAATCTCTCTTTCCCGTTTAACAGTAAGCATCCGAGCAACCTGTCATGGACAATAAAAAAAAATT